TCGATGGCTTGGAGGTGAAATTCTGGAGGCAAGGGATCCCAATTTGGGTACAGAATATATTGCAGAGGAAATGGAATTGGTATTGAAACTTGGTTTGATGTGCTCTCATTCTGAGCCTGCAGCAAGGCCAAGCATGCGCCAAGTAGTGCAGTTCTTAGAGGGGAATGTTCCTCTGCCTGACATTTCACCACTTCGTCTTTCTGCAAGTGGCCTAACATTTTCACATCGTGAAGGTTTCGATGAGTCTGCCAATTCTTATCCTTCTTCTATGGACATGGCATTTGCACATTCGTCCTCGGTTGCAGAGTCCCTCCTTTCAGGTGGCCGTTAATTCTTACTTTTCTTCAAGGACCTTATCAAGAACTCATGTAAGATCTATTTGGTGAATCAGAGGAGTTCCTGTATCCAATACTTACTTTATGAGTGGTTTTTTTATTAAAAAAATTATGTAGTAAACTGCCTTTAGGAGATGTACATGAAAGACCACCTGCAAAACAATGAAGCAAGTTAAATAAAATGCATAACACTGTATCTCTCCCTTTTGTTTATGTTGTTGTATCACATAAGAAAGCAAACATAGTAACAACTCATGAAGCAGGAGGTAATGTTTAAAAGACATTCGTAGTTATAGTTGGAAGTAGTACAGCAAGTTATCTGAATTAATCTGCCAACTACCAAAGACTCTGTCTGTTAAAGAACCGATTCAAGTTGTTTCTTGGCCATTGGCGAATAGTACTTTATTATTTTTTCTGTGATGAAATATTTAGTATTAAATTTTCAAATTAAAGTTTGTGATGCGACGTTATTCGACATAATTATGTGTTGTTTGTTCATCTATCGTTCTTGTGTTGCTTGCATTTGCATCAATACTTGGTGGAATTAACAAGATTTTTTTTTTTTTTTTTTGCTGTTCTTTTTTCTTCTATGGATGTGGTTTTATTTGTTTGGAACTTGAAAGTGAAGAATTATTGATTTGAGATGCTCGAATAAAATTTTTTGCTATTAATGTGGAATTTCAGGTTCTCTTGAAATTCCTACTTGGAAGCGGGAATCCATTCTGATACATACAGAAACTTCAGAGATGAAAAATCCCTCCTTGATAACAATATCCCATTCCACTCACTGACAAAAGTTTGCAAGATTCCTCTATTTCTTTATCATTTTCTTTCGGCTGATCCAAGCAAGTTCGGTTTAAGAGACCCTGAGATTTAAGAAACAAGACTTCCTTCTTATAATCATTGAACAATTATGCCGACAATTTTGGACCCCATAAATTTTATGCCCTATTCAAAGGCAACCCATAGTGAATGACATGAAAAGAGAATAAAATGATATCACACAACATTCACAGGCAAATTGACGTACCTATTACAAACACAATGTAAACCACATAGCCAATCCAAGATCGACTTATAGACTCGTTTCATTCTCAAACATAAAAGCAAGATTAACCAATTCTAGGAGCTCTCTCGATTTTGCCGAATGAGTCAACGTGTAATCGTACTCTATTCTGTCGAAAATCCATGGTCACAAAGCAATCAGGTTGAACAACTTGAATTTGAGCGCCTGGCTTCTCCTCCTTTATCTTTCTTTCAGCTTCTTCCGCTGTTAAGCCAAGTAACTCAGGCCATGTTGTTTTTGTAGCAGGATTTGACCCCAGCCCGTACATTCCTAAAACTTGTCCAAACCAAAGCATTCAAGAATAGAAAAAATGGATGTCATAATCGCGTGTAAGGAAAAAGAAAAGAAAAGAAAGTTAAAACATGCCTTAGCTGTTAGCAAACTAAAAATAATACTACTGTGAAACTAATGTTTAAGATTATCCAAATATAATGGTTCAGAATTACTGATAGAATCTAGGTATATCATCCTTTCCCCTTGTTTTTCGAGGGAAACTATAGTTGTTAAAATCAGGACCCGAATGGTCGGATCATATAAAATTAAGAACCTTCAAGTCCTCGATGGAATAATATTTTTGGATCTCTGCGTTCGATCGTGATGGTACTTCTTACAAACAACAAAACATCAAAAAATGATTTTTCTTTATACTTACTTGGCAAGGGTGGTACTGCTTGTTCAGCAGGTGGTTCTTGAGGGGGCTTGATATGTTGATTTTCTTCGGTCATAGCAAAGCTCTGAACAGGAGGGGACAGCTGGTCTCCTTGTATTTGAGATGAAAAAAAGAGTGCCAGTGAAATGAAAGCAGCATACCAATTTATAGATCACACAACAAGGTTTCACTATTTCACGTTCTAGATGCAATTGAACACTCGGTTTTCCCGACATAAAATTTGAGCAGAACAAACAAAGGCACTATATTCTCCCTTTTGGTGTAAAGTCGGCCTAAAACATTTGTAAGCAAAAATATGACAAGAGGTAACTACAAGTAAATCTCCCAACTATATAGGGTTAGTTTCAGTTAGGCCTCAAAGTTTAAAATTGATCTATTTTGCCCTGAACTATTAAGCATTATCCTTTTTGTCTCCCTAATCAGCACGCCTTGAAAGCAATCAACAAAATTAGCAAGTCTTTTGTAGTTTCCTATTTTGCATCGACATCTATTTGAAATTCAACCTTAATTTCTTGCCACAACAAATATAAAAATGATTGAACAAGCTCGATTATTTTTATTTTTTTTGTAAAGACTTATAATTATAATTAGGTTTTATACTTTGTTTGTTAGGAGGGTTGAAGGATGGATTAGAGGGGAAGGACTACTGAGGAAGCATTTAGTATCATTTGGCAAAAAGGATAAAGACATAAAGAAAGGATTGGAAGGTTCCTTCAATCCTTCGTCACTTATAATTTTCAATCCTTTTAATTTGGGTTGATTGACTCTTATCCTTTCATTCATTCAAAATTTATGTGCTTGATATTAGCCTTTTACTGCACCTTATTTTAGCCATTTTAGTTTTAAGAGGTTAATTTAAGATAAAATAAAGAATTAATGCCTTTTGTTTTATTTTTTCAACTTTTGAAAACAAAATGTAAAAACCTATTCGTTATTGTTTTTACAAAAATCACAAAAAAAATACCAATATATTTTGATTTGGTTTTAAAAGTTTTCATAGGTGGATTTAGTACCATCAACTTATGATTTGGTAGCTAGATTGGATTCCATACGTAAGGAAATGGGCTAGTATCAAGTCCTAGATAGATCCACAATGTATTGTGTCGAGCCACCTAAAGTTTAAGCCCGAACTTGGTCAGAGGAATATGGAAAAAGACTAGAGCACTTATGGTCAAGCCAAGAAAGAGTAGAGGAAGCTTGAGCAGTTAAAGTTGAGTGGAGTGCAAGGTACCTAAATGTTTGACAGGAATCGAGTTCCAGACACCTAATGATCTACTAAGGAAATCTGATAAATTGCTAGGACAAACGCCGGGATAAATCTCACCATTTACTACTAGAAAAAATAAAAATATTTTTTTATAAATTACTAACAGATTTTATTGACAAAAATATTCTCTTAATATTTACTAAGAGAATTATAATAAAAAAATGTTTTTTTAAAAAAAAAGCAAAAAAAAAGTTGACGTGCCATTTTTACCAACAAAATTATTGATGGAATCAATTCCATCGGTAAAATCATTTGTAAACTATGAATACTATTCATCATGTCAATTACAAAGAGAATTACCGATGGAAAATTTTGTCGGTATTTTACAAAGAGCTTTGGAACTATTCACTTTTCAATTGCACTGTTAATTACTATTTTTTACAGATAAAATCACTGACGGATTGAAAAGTCATTAATGTTATTTGAAGGTTTTCTAAATTAGCTTAAACTAAAATTTTAAATTAAATATTATAGAAAAAATTACCGACGGATTGAAAATCATCGGTGATATTTGGCGGTTTTTGAATTTTTTTATTAAATTAAAAATTTAAATTAAATATTACAAATAAAATCACTGACAAAATAATTAAAAATATTAATATTTCATTATCTGTTGGTAAAACACCACAATAAAAAGCTTAAAATCCCTAATTTCACAATTAACTTGTCTCCTTTCTTGTGCTTCCTCTTTTTCTTCTTGAAACTGTTGCTACCTAATGTTTTATCCATGTTTTTGATAAATTTTTAGAAAAAAAACAAAAATAGAAAAAAACAACGAAAACTCCCAAAAAAATATATTTTGATATATTTGTATCATTTTTAGTATTTTTAATATCATTTTAGAAGAATTTAAATTTTCAAAGGTATTTTAAACGCGTTCAAATTTTGATGCGTTAATTTTACGATTACTAATTTTTTGAGTTGATGTTGATATTACTCACTTTAAAAAATGCAAAAAAATAAGAAAAAAGAAAATTATAAAAAGAAAAAAAAAGTTGAGGGACCAGTTTGGAAACCTAGAAATATTTCTTCTATAAATACTATGCTAGAACAGGGAAGAAAACTTTTAGAGGGAAAAGGGCAAAAAAAAATCAAAACCTAAAATATTTTTCATTCTTCACAAGTGGTCGACCCCTCTCCCTTGGAAACTGTTGCAAGTTGAATCTTGAGAGAATCGATTAGGAGAGAACTCAAGTGATTAGCTAAGATGACTGGAGTTCTTCCTACTAGCATGAGAGCATTTTAAATGATAGAAGAATTTGGAAGGAAGAGAGATAAGAAGAATCAGATAGAGAAAGAAGAAACACGTTGATTGTATTCTATTCTTGTTGTTTTTTCTGTTACATGCATGCCTACAGATATAGGAAACGAAATAATTCTAGAATGCCACATGAGGCTCTTGCTAGAATAACAACTAACATAATACTAACAAAATGGAAATAGTAATTAACATCAGCTTGGCGTGCCATTGATTTATTTAAACAATGCGTATAAGCTTTGAAGGAGGTGTTCAAAACGTCATCGTAGCCTTAGCCTTCATTTGATTTGAAAGTCTTTATATTTTCCCGCTACTGTTCTTCCTGCTTCATAATAGCTAGGATGACTGGAGTTCTTCCTACTAGCATGAGAGCATTTTAGATGATAGAAGAATTTGGAAGGAAGAGAGATAAGAAGAATCAGATAGAGAAAGAAGAAACACATTGATTGTATTCTATTCTTGTTGTTTTTTCTGTTACATGCATGCCTACAGATATAGGAAATGAAATAATTCTAGAATGCCACATGAAGCTCTTGCTAGAATAAAAACTAACATAATACTAACAAAATGGAAATAGTAATTAACATCAGCCTAGCATGCCACTGATTTATTTAAATAGTGCGTATAAGCTTTGAAGGAGGTGTTCAAAACGTCATTGTAGCCTTAGCCTTTATTTGATTTGAAAGTCTTTATATTTTCCCGCTACTGTTCTTCCTACTTCATAACAGAAACAAAGAACTAGAGTTGCCGCCTCTTTTTTTTGAGGTTACAGATAACCTAGATGACACGACTAAAAGATTGATGCCTTCTCTTAAGTACAGGAGTGTCGAAGTAATAAATAACTCGGCAAGACCGGGGTCGAATCACAAGGAGGTTAATTGTACAAATTATAAATAACAATAACACAACAACAATAACAACAATAATAGTAACAACAATAACAATAATAATAGTAACAATAATAACAACAACAACAACAACAACAACAATAATAATAATAATAAAGAAGGAGAAGAAGAAGAAGAAGATGATGAGAATTTTGAGATGGAATATTAATGTAATGATTAAAGAATGATAATAACAAATGTCAAGGTTAGAGATTCCACTAATGGTATCTCAAACAAGTATAATATAAACTCTTATTATTCAATTGGAAACCACACATGAAGGAGATTCCAATCAGATTATAGATTGTTAACATGATTATATTAGTCATTTTATTTGATTAATGCAAATACTTGAAAATGTCGTCAAGCATTCATGATTATAACTTATGTTAACAACAAATCAAGTTCCTTTTATAGCTTAGATGGCGGTTATACCATACAGTATGGGCTATGAAACTGCCAAACATTTGTTGTACCAAGTGTTATACAATATAAATCAAGATTAGTTATTTAACAAGCAAAGTATTAAAGAGTGAACAAGATAACAAATATAAAACATGTTAGTATCAAACATTAAAGTTCATATTAAGTTTACACTATACTTATTCTTACACCATTAGTGTAACCTTTTCACCTTAACATAATAAACTTAGCTAGACCTAATGAAAGAAAGAAAAATAAATAAATAAAATAAGAACATAAATAAGATAAAAGTTAGCTACGTAAATGAAAGGAAATGAAAGGCATAAACTTGATATTAATGAAAGCGAAGTATAAATATTACAAAAAATACAAAGAGAGAAAGCAAGAGTATGATCTTGATTTGGAAGCCAAGATGCCTAAATGCATGGTAAATGCCTCCTTTTATAGGCCAAAATTGGGAACTATTGATTTGATGACTAATTGATGAGCGTGTGGTTAACTCTTGACTTAGTGACAATCCTTATCTTCTCTTGTCTGCCCAAAACATCATTGATAAAGTTAAAATTAGAGCCACTCAAAAACATAAAATTTGTAGGCAATTATCTCAGTTTTCTTGTGTAAATATTCAGCTCATTTGAACTTCTAGAACTCCAGATATGGCTAAAATACTGAACAGTGCTCGGACTAGAGGACAAATTTGGGCTTCTTTGTTGTTGCTATAAGTTGGATTTGAAAATGACATTTTTAGATCTTGGGCTCCATATAAAAGTTGTAGGCCTATATCTTAACTTTCCATCCATATAAAGTAGACCTAAAGCTGAGATCTATATAGCTCTAAATATGACCCAATTATCAAACAGTGTTGTGGTTTGGATTGCACCGACATCTCTTTTCTAATTTTGGTCATCTCTTTGCCCTTGCAATTTAAGTTCTTAAAGTCATCAATCAATCCTTTCATTTATGTGATAGGCTTGCATTTAAAATGAACATTTACCACAAATTAAAGGTATCTTATATTATTAGATATATTATTATAAAACATGCTTTAGTTAAGGAGTTATTGATACTTCAAGTGCAAAATGATGATATAAAACCATGATAAAAATGCACTTTTAAGTACTAATCACACCCCTCAGCCTGCTTATTACTAGTCCCTAGTAATCAAAACGTTAAAATAGAAAAATAATTTGCAAATTCCACAAAGCAAGGTATTCATCATTTAATTTCCATTAATCTATCTAGATAAACAAACTCTTAACAATATATTAACAAACCTTTCTTTTGTACTCAATATATCAACACATAATTATGGGACTTTTCTTGGAAGAAAACAAAATTTTTGTTCTAATGTTTAAGGTTAACTTCCTTGGGTTGGGATTATTATTATTATTTTTTCTTCTTTTTTTATTTATTTTTTAATATATATACATATAACTTAAAG